TTTAGAGAGGGACATCATGCTGGGTAGAGTAGAGGGACAGCGTAGGAGGGGAAGACCGTCTGTGAGGTGGATTGATTCAGTGACTGGAGTAATCGGGATGGGTGTGTCAGAGGCAGTGAGATTGGCACAGGATAGAGCATGGTTTAGGGCTGTTGTACATAGGGTCGCTGTGGGTTGCAAACGACTCGACGGCACATAACAACAACAAATGATGATAGTAGTAGTAGTAGTACAACATAAGAAGAATCTTCCTGTCATTAGCAGCAGCCACAGATAGTGCACAAGTATGTAGTGCTGATGCAACAGGACACCATCAGGGCAAGTTCTGAAGATGTTGCATTGAAATTTAACAAGCCTGGTACTAAGACAAGAAAATCATACTCTCTGCAAATAGAAATGGCTCTCAGATGACTGTTCTATAAAAATAATCAGAAATTAATGGAAACCACATTGAGTTTCCCTTTGTTAAGCTTAGAAGTGTTCTGTGGCACTGCTCTCCACACAAAGCATTGTCATTAAAGCACTTTAACCCACAGTATTCATGTCCCTAGGAAGGTTGAAAGGTTTTACATGATTTTTAGTCATCCAGGAAGGTTGGCAGGCAACAGGTTGGAATGTTTTGATCACTTTGTGCTTGGAATCCTGACTTCAGTTCTGGCCCCTTCCTTCAGGAGCCACTGGCTGGGCATCTCAGCAGTGAACTTGACCGCAGACAGTCATACCATGGAGTCCCAGCCAGACTTTAGGTGTGCGATCTTGGTCTGGCTAATAAATGGATTAGCTATGCAGAGATCCCCGGCTGTCACAGTAAAGCCCAAACTACACTAGGCACAAAAGATTGACCAGCTGTAGCCATGTTCCACATCATCAGGCAGGCTTTAAATTAGTTTCGGGAGCCAGTTCAAATCATAGGAGATATTGGCAGCATATGTGCAGAGGGAAATGGTTCAAAATATGCTTGTCATGAGGAAGAGGAGCCCAGCCACGTGCTGGGTCAGGCGCTCCTCCTAGAAGAAACTGACCATGGCCACAATGGAGCCACACAGTAGGATGGCCACCACCATGCCCAGGAAGCCGGCATTCTTAAAAGAAGCAAGTGCCATTCATCTTGTTGTATTTTGGTCAAATTGAAAGGGATATTTCGTAAGCGGATTGACTGATAAAAATAATACTTGATGGTTGTGCATCACTGTGCAGTATCTTTCAGGAAGAGGGTGTCGATGTCCCAGTCAGTGCCCAGGAAGTAGCACTTCTCCAGAGGCCTGAGTAGGTGGCAAAGAGCACTTGGCATCAGCCCGCCAAGCCCCAGCAGTGCATCCGGGGCCCCTGGGGAGCAGCCAGCATGACCGTGACATCAGGCGGTTCTTCTGGTCCAGGGGTTCGGCCATTTCTACTCTTTTTTTTTTTTTTAAATACTTTTTTATTTTTCAGTTGGTTTTTGTTTTCTGTGCAGAAAAGTGTGGCATCAGGATTGGAGGAAGATTGAACAATTTGCATTAAGCAGATGACACAACCCTGCTTGCTGAAACTGAGGAGGACCTGAAGCGCTTGCTGCAGAAGGTCAAGGACTGCAGCCTACAATACAGATTGAGGCTCAGTGTCAAGAAGACAAACATTTTCACCACTGGGCCAATTGGCAGCATCAGGATGGATGGTGAAGAGATTGAGATTGTACACAGCTTTA